GGCCGCCCCGGGCGCGTGCGTCGACGTCGGCGTCGGCGTCGCTGCCGCTGGCGCTGCTGGTGGCGGCGCCGCTGGCCCTGCTGCTGCGGCCGACGCTCGCGGGCTTCGCCTGCCTCAGCAACCCCTGCTTCTTCGGCATCTGCATCGACGACCTCAACAGGTCAGCGCTCGCCACAGCCCCTCCCCCTTCCCCTTGCATCTCACACTAGCTGTCTCTGAAGAAATGTTACAACCGCCGGCCTGGATGGCCGAGGTCGCTACGTCCTAGCTGCCTCGGTTCGAAGGGTCGTGGGTTCGAATTCCGCCTCGGGAATTGATGTTTGTGTTCTCCTTACGATTTCCCTCTACAGTTATCAATTACGGTAAAACAATCAAAGTGTTAGCTATATGACTTAGAAGTTAAAGAGGGACCTTAAAAATGTTACAATCTTCTAGAGCAGAGTTGTCCAACTGGCGGCCCGCAATGTCGTTTATTGTGGCCCGAGAAAGGTTATTTGTCAACAGAGAAAGTCTCTTGCATCCATTTCGGCGGAGAACGTTGTGTGCCTAGCGCAAGCGCTCTGCCGGGATCAACACCCTCTTAATGCAAAATTTTGTTTTAGTTTACATTTAAGGATTTTTTGCTAGTGAATTCAGGATTTCAACATCATACCAATGTGTTGCCCCGCGGTATGCACGGTAAGGTCTGATACCATGCATGGTTCCATTCTCCCCCTCCCCCAGTCACACACACTATTTAAGTTTTACCTTGAGTCCTTGAAAGTTGGACACCCCTGTTCTAGGGGATTTAGGATACACCAAAATTATCACGCTTTGCCGAAGAACATACGGTGGGTAATTTCGTAAAACGGAGTAACACGTGTTATGTTCAGAAATAAGAAAAAATAATAGATAACAATATTTTATTTTATAAGTGTTTACAAAATTTAAAATCTATATTGTACCGAAAAGAAGCCAAAGTTTGGAGCACATTCATAGTAACCAGAAGGTCAGTAGTCCACGGCACAGTTGAACTTAAGGAGTAAACAGTAATCACGGCACTCGCTCTCAGTTCAATTACTGCCCTGCTCCGCAGAGTTGCTCCCTGATCTTATAAACTCCTCAATAGAATGTGTAATCGCGTACCTAATTCACACTTTCTTGTAGTGCCAGGAGGATTTCTCCCCGGGGTGGGGACCTAGGCGTCACTCACAAAGACACCTTTGGTCTGGTATTCGTATCCCACAGTAACGTAACCCTTCAAGAGAACCTTCCGAATTAAGCCTGAGTCGGACTATTAGCTATTAGCTTTCCAAGTTAACACCGGAGTCAAATTAAGTGCCACTTACAATGCGCCAGGACAAGTCCCCCTATTGCTCTTGAGTATCGCGTCACTGTCACGTCGAAGCCAAGTGACCAACTAGGGGCCGCCGGGAGTAAGGCCCGTGTGGCTTGGCGGCCCCAAACCGTCTCTTCACTTGAAGATGCCGACCTTGAGTTAGGTGACCTGACAGGGGGGTTCATGCTCCCCTTCGATCTTTTGTATGAGGGATTAGGATCAGTCGCCGGCTACACAGAGGATGCCGACTAACAGATCCTTCGCCCAATCCTGCTCAAAGGTCGGTGGCGAACCACCTCCACATTGCCTCCTCCTTGAAACTAACGACATGAGTACAGCCGAGTAACTCGGGTCTGATTGGGCGTTACCTCCTCTACTAAGAGCCTCAGGCTTTTCGACCGTCAGTTCATCCACCGGGGTGGGGGTGGGGGGTCTTCTCAGGTGAAGACTGGTTGCTGTAACTCACTGCTGCTGTAACATTGGTTCGTTCCCAGTCGATACACTCGCCTCTTGGCTTTTCATGTACGCGCTATTTATCTTTCCACACGCCCACAACACACACGCCAAGTAACTTCTTGTGCGCAGGAGATTGGGAGGTCACGTATGTTCACATGCAAAGAGATTTCGTGTACATGCAGAACAACTGTGCTGCGGGATTGCCGAACAATCAGGGGTAAATTTTACATGTGTCACTCCTTTATATGAAACTTCTCACTTCATGTTCATGGGCTGAATATTATTCTTTTTGGCCCCTTCTCATTGCCTGGAAGTTTGTAACATTTAGTCTGAGACATTCTGAATAGGGTACCCTACAAAATTACGAAATTTAATGATAAAATTTATACTCTATTTCTACCTCCACATTTGATATTTATAGAATGTTACGAGTAGCGAGTGTGTGGTAATTGTAACCTTACTCTTCGAAAATATATAAATATGTTACGCCATTACTTTAATAAAATTGCTTCAAAAAGAAAAAAAAATTAATTACATGCTCTAAATTCCACTTACCTCACTTAAGGGGTACCCGTGGTACCCGTGTACAATTATCACGTCGAAGTAATCACATATTCTTCGCATAATAAAATAAGGTGTATACATTTTTACAAATACAATTTTTGTCATAATTCAAGAATGATTGCATGCATATTCAAATTGACCACTATTTGAATTTTCATTATGCTGACGTGTCTGCAATTAGTAGAAATTAATAGTTTCCCTAGAACTTTTGGTACTCTTGCGATGATGGCTCACCTCAAATTCATTATCAAATCACCGTATGACTTGTCCGATGTAATGAATTTTATTGGCTTTAGGTCCATCTACAGAAGTTTAATAGAATAAAATCATTACGTTTTGTATCCAGGGCCAATTCATCTATTAAAGATGAATGCGGTGTTTCTTAAATTAATATCTGATTCTTATTGAAGAATATTTCACTGATGATCAGTGATTTCCGGAAACAATGACGTTCCTAACGACTCTTGTTTCTTGATCTATCTTGTTTAATTTTAGGGTAATAACTTCCCGGCAGCTGGATTGGGGTAAGTGGAAGCAAGTGCACGTATGCCCCCTTGCTATGCGTTCCCTTGCCGTAATACGTAAAAAATTATATTGTATTTTTAAACCTTTTAGATGTCGACAATGAAGGATAGAAAAATTATACAGTAAACCCTCGTTAACACGAATTCCAAAGAACCAAACTAAACGGTGTTCGTATTATACAAATTCGTGTAATACGATTATTCAATGTCGTGGAAGGAAACGCCCAAACTTCGAAAATAAGCTCGTAAGACAATTTCAAGCATATCTTGCCTAATAAACTCCTTGGGTATTTCGAATGGCTGAGCCGCAATAAGTACTCAAAAGTTGGTTTGTAAAAACACTTTCTATGCAAACATTTACATTTCATGTGCATATAAAAACTCCAGAAACATTTAAATTGTTTATTATTTATAAAAGAAATATATTTGTCTATAAAAAATTAACACAAATTTTAACAAAGCAGTCGAATCGTGTAAAAGGGTTATTGAGGCTCAGCTATTTGAAATATCGAAGGTGTTTATTACATAACATGCTTAAAATTGTCTTAGAAGGTAATTTTCTAAGTTTCATCCCTGGACATTCTGTATGTCAGCACTTTTCCTAGCCGGGACCTTAAATTTGTTCTTTTCACCGCTAAATTCGTGTTTCGGGAATATTTAACGAGGGTTTACAATATTTCCGCCAAAATAGTGGTTGGGCCAGCGTGTGTGGTGTGTGTCTGTTTGGCAGCTCGTACACGTGCTACTGCATCGACGGCTACACGGGCGCGCAGTGCCAGACCAACTGGGACGAGTGCTGGTCGTCCCCGTGCCGCAACGGAGGCACCTGCACCGACGGTGTGGCTTCCTTCAACTGCAGCTGCCCGCAGGGATTCATGGGTGACCTATCTATCCGGGCGGCCCCGCCCCCTTTCGCCCCGCCCCACGCCCCGCCACGCCACCCGCCGCTGCCGCTTGCCAGCTGCTGCTTACGTAGTGGCCTGTGATAGAGTGGAGGCGCTGTGCTCGCATAGTCCGGGAGTTGCCGGGTTTAAAAATGGGCGTGTACGCTCAGGCTTACTCAACCATGAAATCGTTCAAGGTGTTGTCATTGCCAACAGTAGTGTTTATTACAAGAGCAGCTTTCGGTGGGTTATCCATCATCATCAGTTTCCTGATACAAGAAATATACACAAATTAAAACATAGAAATTAACAGATTACTATTAGTTAATGGTTATACAAGTATAATACATAATTTCAATTTTAAAAACATCTTAAGAAAGAAAAAAGGAAGGAAAGAAAGAAGGAGCGGAGTTTTAAATCGTTTAATATTACAGTAAAAATTACAAAATTACTGTAAATTTAATATACAATTACCGAAATATTAAACGAGTTAAAACTCCACCACCTTTCATTCATTTCTGAAGTTTTTTAAAAAGTTGAAATTGTGTATTATATAACTATGTACTATTAGTAATCTGTCAATTTCTGTTGTAATTTATTTATATTTCTCGTATTAGGAAACTGATGATGATGGCCAAGCAATCGGAAGCTGCTCTTGTAATAAACAACACTCTTGGCAATAGCATGGCATTGAATTATTTTATTTTAAATGGCAACGACAACTCACTGCTTAACTAATATTGCTCAACCATACTAATTCAAACTCTCATTGCATCGTATTAGTCCTAGAACTAGCAGTTTCAGTTATTCAAACTAGAACTAGCAATCATTCTAGCAATAATTAGTCGTAGAACTAGCAGTTTGAGTTCCCCCCCCCCGTGCTGTAGCTGCGGGATTAATTAGCTTGTTCCATCAGTATACATTCATTATTAAATAACAGCAGCCACCTCCAGGGTTTCATGGGTGGTCTATATGTGGGGCGGTCGCGACTCCTAGCCTCTTCGCCTCGCCCGGGACGCTTCCGCTTGCCCAGCCGCAGCTGCTTACGTAATGGCTCGTAATAGAGTAGAGGCACTCTCCTGAAGAGTTGTTGACATTCGCACTGTCTGAGAGTTCTCGGTTCTTGAAAAGGGGCGTGAACATTGTGGCGCTCACATTCTAGCGACTAGACCCTTGGCGTGACGTAACATATCGCGCGTGTTTCAGCCGTTCACCTAAAACGCACCCACGCATCAATTGATGCAAGTGATCCCTGGAGAAGAGTGAGTTTTAAAAGTGGCCGGAGAGGTTTCTATATCAATTCCCTGAGTGTAGAAATCTCTTGCCATTAGACTGTCTCCCACTTAATTTTATGTTCCCATGGGTATGAATAATTATCCTATTTTCTCGCAAATCCAGTTAGAAATGCGCTGGCTGCCGGTTTCTTTAAGAGCCGACACCCACTCGAGATACATGTCAGTTTTCCCTGACCCATTTTGCCCGAGTGAGTAAAATAAGAGTCTGCGATCGCAACCTCGCTTGTAAAACTGCCTCCATCCATATCAGTCTGCTCCTGAGTTTCTTAAAGACACAGGCTCGCGGTTGCCATAGACCGTACGCAGAACAATGTTTCGCGCTCAGCCCTTCAAGGTGATACGCACGTACAGTTCACACGCGGAACATTTGCACTCGGTGTCTCCACAGAGGAGGGAGACGGTTGCACTGAACGCCGCCTCAAAAACATCGACCTCGTGACTTTCAACACGCAGCCTCGCCACGTAAATTTTACTTTTACATTTTGTGTAAGAAATACGCGAAAAGCAAATGAAACGAATAACTAATGTAGCCACAACAAATTTCTGAGCGGCTGCAATCCGTAGCACGAGTTGGGCTACCCGATGTTTTCGAAAGAGCGATAGTACGCGTAGATGGCTCTACTGCGCTTATGCATTGCTTACTTTCTCGAGTGTCTCATTCGCACTGTAGTTACTGTAATTTTTACGTTCGTGTAAATTCGGTCTCAATTCGCATATATGCAGTTTGAGACACATGATTAATGTGTAGGAACGAAGCAAAAATTCGACCACCGCATTAGAATATACCCTATCAATTTTTGTAATTTTCTGGCGTACTCCTTAGCGCTGGGAACTAATACCGCGGCCTTTTAAAGAGTGAAAGTAGTAATTAACCTAATGGTCTAACCTTTGTGTCTAGAACGCGTGACCAGTGGTTTGTAGTTAGGAACACCAGAGCATAACTAAAGTGCCTTCAAAGTCTGTGAAAAACGTCTCACTCAAGATCTGTCATGGAAAAAAATACATAAGATTAGTTTCTTGATATTCTTGAACATAAGATGAGAGGCAACCACGTGTTTCATCTTTTTGAATTGAATTGAATTGAATATGCCTTATTTTACGTGGCGAGACTCGGGCCATCAGGCCCGCTCTTCCGTCTGACCACGCAAATTTCGCTACGCTCCTTTCATATAGCAGAGAAAGAAGGTATTTCTTGGGCGAGAAACAGGCGATTTGAATTTAGCTCAGAGGCGTCATTTAGGCTTGAGGAGCTTTTACATGCAAGTAAATCTACGAACATGGGACAGTCGGCTTTACTTCCCCTCCGAAGGAAGGCGTACGAAGGATTTTTTCGCCCTTAAAAATCCACGGCTTCGATCGGGTTTGAACCCGCCAACTTGGGTACAACAGTCCAGTACGCTAACCGTTACACCACCGCCGCCATTACACCACCGCCGCCGCATCTTAACAGTTAAATACATATGAGAGATGCGGATATAATATTTTTATGTGAAAAATTCGCGAATTTCAGAATTATTTTCTTAAATTGGTGATTACTTGCAGATGTTTGATGATTCCCGCCACTTAAAATAAAAATATATTATTTTAGGTTCAGTCTTTCTAAATACAATTTTCTTAATGTTTAGGTGTTCAACATTGCATAGAAATCATATTTGAAAATAGTACACAAAAGATAGGTAGCAGACATATCAGCAGAATAGTTTCGAATATAATAATTTTCACAGTACAACGTAGAATCTCGGTTCGAATATAAGAACAGCTCACCTACGCTGTCTTTTGAATTTGTATGCACTATTCAAAACGGTTCGAAACGAAGCACCTAAATGAAAGATACGAATTCGAAAAATAATCTAAATGTGGTCCAAATGTCTTTTCCGGTATCGACCATCAATCCTTTAAATTGACCATTTTGTGGAAATACCTTAGTTGCTATCATTCTGTCAGAGATGTTCACCATGTTTCTTTAAAAATAAATAGTTGTAGAATAAATTAATAAATTCACTTTGAAGATTAGTGAAACGTATGTTTGCAGAATTCTCCCAGAATTTTCAAGCGATTTGATTAACGAAGATTTCGTTTTATTTGCTTTACGTAGTACTAAAGGAAAGTGTAGATAGTAAAGAGTCAGCCTTTTTTCTTTATACCACCCTAAATACTCTTTATCCTGAAATACCTGAAGAAGTAAATACAATAATTGTAGAGAAAATATTGATTTACAGTCATTGAATTTGAAGTAATTACCATTAGAATGCATTTTGTGAGGAACTCGTGAAAACAAAAGCCAGATTTAGCCGCGTTGTTCTGTTTCTTTGCTTTCGCTGATTTTCCCAACAGCACCACAGTGGACGCACCATTCATCAGTGTGAAATTTGTGAAATCACAAATTAATGGCACAAGTGTTTTCATAGTTTAAGTAAATAAATATTTTTGTATACTTTGCTTATTAATTCACTTCTCAAGCGCCCTTGGCTTGATGTGAACTCTACTTTGTGGAAAATAATTCAACGAGTCGCTCGGTTCTATACAATTCTATAGAAAAACTTGTCGAATCGACTCATTGTTTCCCCTAAAAAAATCATCGTGTAAAATTTTACTCAAAAATTACATATTTGTTTTTTTTTCAGAGTCAGTTAATTGTTCTTTACGGTCCCACTAAACGGAAATAATTAATGCAATGCGCGTTTCAATTACGTAGGCGGAAGGGTTTGGAATAGCGTGTGCGGGGCGGCTATTTCACGGAGCAGATCCTATTGAGGCTTTGAAAAACGGTGCGTGACGAATGGACAAATGGAGTAGTGGAGTAATTGGGAATGCGGCTGATCACGCAGAGCAAATAAAGAGTCACGACGTCAGGGGAAGAAATACACGAGCATTCAAAGGCACCCGGGTTCTGCCATTTAGACTCCGGAGATTACTGTACTTTTCAAATGTCTGACAAGGGTAAAATAAAAAACATTGAACAGCACATTTCAAACCAATTGCGCAATTCAGCAGCAGATTAATCCATTGGAGAATGAATGTTTCAGAATGTTTTTGAAATTGTCTGTTGTCCAGAGTCATACAGTAAAAAACACATGAAACGTGAGAGGGAAAATTATTTATTTTACGATTATTAGCAATACTAGGTTATTTACGTTTTTTATGGAAATATCGCGCAAAATTAATTAGTCTCAATATACGCATTAGCAGAAAGGACAATTTATGACTTTGTAGGAAACAGTTTACAAAAAGAAACTTTTTAAGAAATAATCTGGCCCAGAAAATGTTGTTTATTTGAATTCTAATCTTTAAACTTTGGTGACTTCAAAATTAACCAATATCTTAATAATTCGTCCTGAGCTTCTTAGAGACACAGGCTCGTGGTTGCCATAGACCGTACGCAGAACAATGTTTCGCGCTCAGCTCTTCATGACGATACGCATCGCACACGGCTTTGCGCCAATCCTGTTCCTAGTACGGTCCACTAAAGGACACGCGCCTTCTCCCACACAAAAGTGACTCTCTCCCGAACAAAGGTGAGGAAAGCATGGACCAGGGACGAGCAAAGTCACAACCAATCAGCCTCTGAAATAGATACACAAGACGCGGCCAAATTGGATGGGCAAAACTAGGCGTCTGTGAACGCCTTCGTGATTCAATTAACAGGCACGCGAGTGCCAGTCCTATACCCAAACACCAATAAGAACCCCAGAATAAATTTCGATATAATGTAAGGAACATTCTATATTTTTAAGAAATAACTCTACTTGCATTAGAAATTCATATTACAATATTTTTTTTGAAGTTTATTATCAATTAGGTACATTTTTGAGTTACGGGAAGGTTCAACAATTTTGAATATTTTCTGTATTTGTGGTTCTTTCTCGGTGACACAGATGATTGGGTCCTTTTTGAAGAACTAGTTCAACATTAACTATGCTTCTCCGATTGCACAACCGTCATCTACATGGACGGCTACTAAAATAAGATTGCAACGTGCTTATGGGTAGGCTGTAAGAGAACGCCAGACTCTCCAGGAAACGATTACGCATGGAGATTGTTTCGAATGGATTAGTAAACATCCGATAAGCTTAAAAAACGAGACGATTACTAAGGGTTAAAGAAGGTCCTAACAATAAATGTCCTAAACGATAAAACAGTAACTTATTATCTGAACAAAGATAGAGAAAAGGCTACTCTGGGATCTACGTGTAGCCCCCTTCCATTGCTAGGCGACTGTTAAACAACCGACGCGCACAATCGTGTTATGACCAGCACAATCGTGCAATGACTCGCATAATCGTGCAGCTATCCACACAATTGTGCAATGTCCCGCAAAATCGTGCAATGACACCCACAATCGTGCAATTACACCCACAATCGTGCAATGCCCAGCACAATCGTGCAATGACCTGCACAATCGTGCAATGACCCACACAATCGTGCAATGACCCACACAATCGTGCAATGACCCACACAATCGAGCAATGACCGACACAGTCGTGCACTGGCTCACACAATCGTGCAGTGACCTGCACAATCGTGCAATGACCCTCACAATCGTGCAATGACCCACACAATCGTGCAATGACCCTCAGAATCGTGTAGTGACCCGCACAGTCGTGCAATGACCCACACAATCGTGCAATGACCCAGACAATCGTGCAATGACCCTCAGAATCGTTGTGAGTGACTCGCCAATTCTGGCAATGACGCTCCCACAATCGTGCAGCGACCCAACAACAATAATTGCAGTGCACCTGCACAAACGTGCAGGACCTGCATATATCGTTGCAATGATCCACACATCGTGCAATGACTAGCACAATCGTGCAGATGACGCCACACAATAGTGCAGCGACCTCACACAATTCGTCAATGACCCAGACCAATAGTGCAATGCCCTCAGAACTCGTGTAGTTACCCGCACAATTCGTGCAGATGTCCACAACTAATCGTGCAAAGTGACCCAGACAATAGTGCAATGACGCCTCAGAAAATCGTGTAGTGACCCCGCACAATCGTGCATGACTGCACACAATCGTGCAGCGACCCACACAATCATGCAGTGACCTGCACAATCGTGCAATGACCCACACAATCGTGCAATGACCCACACAATCGAGCAATGACCCACACAATCGAGCAATGACCGACACAGTCGTGCACTGACTCATACAATCGTGTAGTGACCCACACAATGGTGCAGTGACCCACACAATGGTGCGGGTGGAAAAGCCCTGCATCCCGAGCGCGCGCAGAGCCCTTGGGCAGCTTCGGTCTGGTCCGCAGGCGCCGAGTGCGAGCAGGACCTGGACGAGTGCGCGTCCAACCCGTGCCTGCACAACGCCACCTGCGAGGACGCCGTCAACGGCTACGCCTGCCACTGCCTGCCCGGCTACTCCGGTGAGTCTGTTCCTTCCCCCTGCCACCCCACCTGTTTCTTTAACTCTGGATTCGAACCCTAACTTTCACTTTTTTAATACTCTAAGTTAGATTGTGAATGTAGGGTTAAGGAAGTGAATGATTGTGAATGTAAGGTTGAAGAAGTGAAAGTTAGATTGTGAAACTTTCATTTCTTTAACCCTAGATTCACAACCCATGCTTGCATTAGCATTTTCAGGCGGAAGGCGGAGACCGTTTGACTTTACATCAAACGTGAATTTTACTACAAGTAATGACATACCTGTACTACAAATATTGACAATGATATATTTTACTACAAATATTTCAGTACAAGTATGAATTTTAAATAAAGAAAAGAAAATAGAACCAATATTATATGAACTACTTTTTATTTCAGTGTATTTAACAATCCAAAAACTTACAATATGCCAGAGTAATATATGAAAACTACATTGTCTTGCCACAAGTTCGAAAGCTCACGTGGAAAACCAGGTTCATCTCCTCTCGCTAAAGCGCTATCATCTGAGTCTGACAACATTCCGAAAACTATAACAGATATTTTCACTTCCATCTTTCTCCAAGGCATCCGAGCTATTACATCATTCCTCGTTTTTCACTATTCACTATACACTCGAGATTGACGCCGTGTATCAATAAAATGTTGATTAAAGAGACCGCTGGGGCTTGAGTTACAGCGATGTTTCACTTGAGGTTCGGTCATATTCTGATGACCGAGACCGCGTTCAAAACGAGAAGCAATCTCATCTCTTACTTCAGGCCGTGTCAAAAGGTTGATTTGAACGGGGATCTTCGTGCGAAGTGCGAATTTAGAAACGTATTGAAGTAAACGTGTTGTTCGTTCCTGCCGTTGTTGACTCTGGCATCTAGCTCAAAGTTACTGAGGAACTGCACTTCCTTCAGGAGAAATGAAATAAAATTTCTGTTCGTGCAAAAAGTGGTGTTGTTGTGGTTGTGGTGAAGCTCTCATTAAGATACTCCTAGATTTCCAAAAAAGTTTAAAAGATAAAACACTAAGTACGGATCACATTTGTTATACATTTTTTTCGATAATGATAAGTGAGGAAAAGTATGTTGTTGCTGCGGTCTTCGGTGAGATGTTTTAGACTTTTCTAGTTCCGGATGCTTGATAGCAGGTGGACGGCAAGGTGGATTTATAGGAGAATAAATCTCCTACGTAATGCCCCGTCTACTTCCGGGTTCGATTTCTGATGGAGGAGGGGATTTTGACGACGCTAATTAAGTGTATTTCGCAAATGGAACTGCATTTTAATGAAATATTTCATTGTTCGTAAATTTTCTAGTTTGTAAATTGTTTCCTTTTTACGCGAAATTGTTTCGCAATGCAAGCCAGCGTTGGCAGGAGGTATGTGCACATAACGCGAAGAAAATATGCTCAGGGAAACTCCGAGGGTATCTGTTAATGGAAGAAAGTAAAATACGAGATTGCGTGGAAGTTTCTCCTGAAATTACTTCAGGAAATACAGGCTTCCTTCTCCTCCAAAACTGTAGAAGACATGCGTGATTAGAGGGGAGTAATTGTGTACTAATTGGGTTTTCTCTCTGGTCTCAGCCGACCAGTTTGCCCGGAGTGCCGGGGATGGATTTAATCGGGAATGGCAGTTTGAAATCAGATCTAAATAAACATATGAGTGCGTGATAGATATCCTCTAATGTTGTGGGATCCCCTCACGATCCTTTGTATTTGGAATTCCTCATATCTGAAATGTGTTTATTTTCCATTCTTCATCTTATGTTAAATTTAACTCCAAATGTCGAATACCTAGAAATAGTGTCTGCATAACACCAAAAAATAGCAATTTTGTAGAAGAATATGTGTGTGCGTTTCCACTGGCAATCAAAGGAAATACCGCACAAGAGACTCGGGTACCATTTGTTCGCGGTCTTGCGTATTTGAGAGTACGATGTAAAAATCCACTCAATTTGACATTAATGTGACTGAACTGTGTGTATATATTCATAAAAATTTCTTATTTTGATAGTTTAATATACTCCTACCATTTTTTAAACTCACGCAAAATTTCCAATTCAATAATCAAGCATTTCGGCACTGAATATCCTTTTCTACAATGGAAACTAATTGGCATTACCATTTGCTTTCTTATACTAGTTCTAAAAAACATTATCCATTTGTGTATATTGTCCGACACAACGGGCAATGGCCCTTGCGTGCTAGTTCACAAGCGATAGCAATTTCCGTTATGCAGCCATTATTCGCCATTAAAGCGTAACGCAGCGTCATTTCCGGGTGATCGGCGCATCGATTGACGGGGAACTCGGGCGAAGCGGAGCGCGCGAAGCTACATTGATTGACTCGCGCGAAAAGTGGGGCATCGGAGCGAAGCAGTGGCACGCGCAGTGCGCACTTCAACCAGAGCCAGGCAGCCACTAGCACATTGGGACTAGACGGGCGATGTAGCAGAGCACGGACGTTTTGTAACAGAATTTGGTTCGTAAAAAGGACAAAAACAATTCCAGGGGCAAATGATCGTATAATCAAGGGGATGTAATCAAATCCGGTGTTCCACAACGATCCTCACAATTTCCCTTATTGTTCAACTCATACATTGCAGACTATCCAGAATTAAACTTTTCTTTGCTGCGAATGAAAATCTGACCAATAAGTGCACGGAACCTCAGTTGGACTATTACAAATTAATCAAATGTACATGAAATGGATAATTATCATCAATCCTGCGATAACTCACTCCAAAATATTCTCATTACGAGAAATATATTTGAAACAACAAATGAAAATTAATAATACCCCACATCCACGCCCATAAAATATGTGGTTGTTTGGCTGAACATGGAAAAGCCACATTCAAGGAAATGCATGCAAAAAACTTGCAAGCATTGCCCCATGATAGAGAAATCAAGTATTTCAGAGAAGCGATATGTGTTCCAATCCAAATAAACAGATTTACAGGGTATTAAAAATACCAATTAAATCAAACAGAACAGTTGCAGAGTGTTTGCATTCAGACGAAACACATACAGAAAATAACCTATACATTTATCACGCTCCTTTCTTGAACGCGTGTACATGTAGAAAATATAGGTAATCTGTTATCATGCCAAATTACATTATTTCCGAATACGAAAAACTCCGTCAAACCACTGTAAATTAGATCCGACTCACTCTGCTATTAACCAATTCAACTTTCGGGAAAATTAAACAAAATTTTTTACAAAAGAAAAAGAAAAAATATGAATTGCTGCTCTGTTGTCAGTTGTCGTGTTGTCCTCTTAAAGTTTTGTAATCGAAATGCCATCATTATGTAACAATTGCTTATTAAAATCTACGAAAAGAAAATTATGCTAATCAGACTAAGTACTTTTTTTAAATGTATAATTCTGTCTTTTAGTACGACTCCAGCACAGTACACATTTTTCCAGTACACTCCACGACGATCAGTACGCATTTTTTGCATGACTTTTCCCCGAGGCCATGAAAAATTCCAGCATTCCGCCTCACTGACTGAGAGCACTATATTAAAACTACAAAGTGTGCGTGCTAGTCCGTGTTAGTGCGATTGTGATGTACAGCAGTGGGACGTGCGTGGTTGCAGGGCCGCTGTGTGAGGTGGACGAGGCAGTGTGCAACGCCACGGGGCTGCCTCGCTGCGCCAACGGGGGCTCCTGCCGGGAGGGCCCCGGGGACGCCTTCTCCTGCCTCTGCCCGGAGGGTGAGTGCAAGGGGCATTTGGCAAAGGTCTTCGACACTTCTTTATAGCTACAGCCAGCTGAAAAGCTGCATTGTTTACAAAGTGTCGTATTTCCTTTAACGTTGTTTTCTTCCTTTACGAATCTGAAAATCCATAAATCGCGTCTTCATCATGTTCCAAATAGTGTATTAAAAATGCGTGTCTCCTACGTTAAAAAGTACTCGAAAACAGTTCCGTTTGAAATTATATCTTGAACTATAAATGAATGAATTTTATATACTTCCTTTTTCTGCGAAATTAAGTTTCTTAGAAATTCGCCTCTTTGGAAATAAGCAGTTCAATATAGCTTTGTAACCATTGACAAAACTATCAAAGTGCAAGGAGAGGGGCGCTAGTGTCGCTCGTTGCGTCTTTGCGTAATGTTTGCCAACTTTACAAAAAAACAACAATTTGATAGAAATATGAAATAGGTGGAAATAAAGTATTTATAATTCGTGTTTTGCAAGAATTGTAATGGCGTAATGCGCGAACATTAGCGTAGTATTTTATGGGCGTATATTGTTACCAAGTCTGGTCCATACGTCATTTCATTAACGTTAGCAGTAGACTGTATTTTAATTTCTGTGAGGAGGTGTAAAGATTGGACGTGCATCTGTAAGCAGTGCCAGCTTTGAGCGCCAAGGCGCCACATAGCAGGTAGAGAGCTCTGGAAACAAGCCGAGCGCACGTGTAATGGCCACGCCTGCACCGCACTTCCTCAACAAAACCTTTCTTTTTTCTCTTTTCAAGGCATTGCATTGTACGTCTTTTTCGCAACACGACTCTAAGCCTTTCGTGAGCATTGAGCGTATCGGAGTAACCCTCCGTTAAGTTTTTGTCTCTTCACGACGCAGTCAGCGCCTTTTATCCTTTCGGCTAGGGGCTCGGCGCCGTTAGCAATAGGGGTTCCCAGGCGGTCACCCGTCCAGGAATCCGTGATATCTCTATTTGCTTACATGCCGTGTCTTCGCGGATCGTAGTTAAGCAATTCCGCTAACGACGCCGGCACCTTCTCTGAGAGGTTGATGGGTCGGTTACTGTGGCCACCACCACCTTCCTGATTTCCTCCGCAGGGTGGGCGGGGCCTCTGTGCGAAGAGGCCGTGGACGAGTGCGCGTCGTCGCCCTGCCAGAACGGGGGCGTGTGCGTGGACCAAGTGGCTGGCTACGCCTGTGCGTGCGTCTTTGGTGAGTGTAAAGAGTTTGCTGCGGCGCACAACCAACCATAGGCGAGGGCAGCCTAAAAGAAGAGGGAGGAGCCAAACTACATTTTGGGGTTTCCCTTTCCTTTAATTTTTTTTAAAATTTAAATTTTGACATATTTACTAGTAAGCACAAGACAAGCAGAATTAAATTATAACCTAAATGATACAATCAATAAATTCATAATTTCATTTAATGTTGAATTGAAGGTTGTCAGATGGCTTGAAGAGTTTCTTCCTCCAATGCCATGTAACAACACTCCGAGTTGTTAGGTTACAAGTGAGGGGAAAAAAAGGACTCAACATTTTTACGGAAATAAAATGTATTATTACGTAAGATTACGGAGACCCTTTAAAAATTTTGACCCACACTCCTTGCCCTCCCTCTTCATTTGCACAAGGTTATGAAAGTATCCTTTCTCAATTCCACTTATATTTCAATTAAGTGTATTTGAGTAAGTGCCTTCTAACTCAAGATTTAATATCCTAATATTCCTTAGTTTTATGAGGTTGCTTACGTCTATTTCAGGTACTCATAGAGTGATAAATGTATTTGAATACGTTCGAAAATGCGTTTTACAAAACTGAAATAAGCCAGCAATCAGAAGCCGATACGTACGTTTTCTATCATTCAATCTCTTTTGGAGAAGCTCTACAAGAGAACATTTGAAATACGAACATTCAATCCTACAATAAAAGAGATTTGAAGTTTATTGAGACAGTAAATATGAAATTAATAATTAGATGTACTTTGACAAAAAATGATCATTTCCGAATTTTGCCATGGTCTAGAATATTGTAATATTTATGCTATAGTATAGAAGATTGTTACATTATCCTCCAATATTCCTCCAATGTATTATTTGTAATTTTACTGTGCGTGCGCGTAGGGTTCACGGGCAAGGACTGCGAGAGGAAGCTGCGCCAGTGTGATGACAGCCCCTGCGAGAACGGCGCCCTGTGCCTGCAGGAGGGCGACCGCGCCGTGTGCTACTGCGTGCCCGACTACCACGGCAGCCGCTGCGAGCTGCAGTACGACGAGTGCCAGCTCGGCCCCAGGTAACGCTCCCACAATTCTCCAACCACGCTTTGATTATTTTGTTCCCGGGGGGAGGGACGACAACTGCTGCCTTTATTAGTCCCGATAATGTGGCGGATGTTACGTATAGGGAGGTGGAAGTGATCTTCCCCTGCTTGAAAGTGAGATCCGTAACAGACCTATAGTCAGCTTGCGGGATTTTCCACTACAGATACTTCCTCTAGCGGGCAGGATCTCGCGACGTGAAAGAAATGTTGTGCATGTATTTGTGTATTTGTGTTTGTAAGGGGTGAGGAGAAGATTGTGACGAGGAAGGAAATATCGTGCGCGATCCGTGGCCCGTTTGTTAAAGAACTGCTTCGGCATTCGCCTAATCGTAGAAATCACAGGAAGCTAGCCCTCTGACCGGGAGGTCCTAGGCTCGAGTCCTGACGGTGGCAGGAATTTCGATACTGGCGTATTAGCTATGTCGAATTCAATCTCTGACTGGATGGGAATTATAGCGACTGGCTGCTCTGATCGGTTTTTCCCGATCAACACCAGGCGAATGGCGGAAAGTACCCTAACAAATGGGTCACGGACAGCGCGCGATATCACCTTCCTCTTCCTTTTTCTATCACCCCTTACACACATACACACTCACACACTTGCACTAACACGCATTACTCTACCACACATGCCGGAAGTCCCATCAAGAACTAAGAGATGGTCCCAGCTAGGGCGGTGCCCCGCTGGTGGGCGATCCCTGGTTGGGGAAATACCCGCTAGCCGACAGTAGGTCGGCGCCGGATGTCGCCGTACAGCGAGGGGAAGATCACCGCCACCTCCGAAGCAAAAAAATGTATTACATTTACAGAGCTAATGACCCTGGCAGTTAACGTGACGGAATCACTAAGAAACGGTTGTTGAAAAATTCTCGTCCTCCTTCAGCGATCCGGTCCAGATCCTCAATTAGCTATGTCAGGCCGAGCCTGGTGTCATTCCACAATAGAGCAATAAACTCATCCTTCTTTCAAACGTTTGCTTAATTACGAACTATCGTATCCTCAACGACACGCCAATTTGTAAATGACGCGATACGACCCTTTTACGACAGTTTTCTCCGAGACCTAATCGCTCATTTGATTCACCGCATACACGAGCGTCTTTTACAGAGCACAAGAAAAGAGATCGCAAAAAGTATACATCGTGCTCCTATTACTATGCCACGTGGGGGGGGGGACAGCCTCAAATTACGACCAGACATGACCTAAAGTACCTGAAAAGTCAGAACGCCGACAAATTAGAAGCGTGGTAGTGGTAGTGGAGAGAAGGTTAGTGAAGCTAGAATTCAAGGAACGGAAAGAGAGATCTGAACATGAAGCCGCCTTGAGCAGAATAAAGGAGAAGGAATCAGGCAGGCGCAGCAGGCAAGCACGTCTGCGCAAATAACTACCCATGTCTCTCAGTCTGAATATTTTCAATTTGTGCTCATTTGTATCCAAGTTCCAAACACCTTCGCCGGGCACCTCAAATGATGCGAGCGTGACGTTATAAGAAAGTGACGAGTCGAGAATCGGTGGCGTGTGGTGACCACTCTCGAAAACCTTCGAAACGCCATCTAGTTGTCTGAAGCGTGAAGCGAACGCCAGAGAAATCGTCAGCCAGGTATGCCAGGTATCGTCGAAAGTCTAGCCGGTTGGAGTTTCAGCGCGAACGGGTGTTCGGCCGAATGCAAAATTTGGGACAAAATAATCCCTTCATCTCGCGACACTTTCTATTTCTACATATAAATTGGCGACCAAACCAGGTAAGGAAAAGAGTGATTGATCAGGTAAGCGCGTTAAGGGGGTCGTGGCCGCCGCACTGCTGTCCAGTGCGTCTTTGTGACTTATTGACAATCTCCCAGACTAGCTCTTTCATCAAAATGAAAAGGAAAGAAAGCACTAGAAGAGTGTCCAGATTTCATGTTCTTCGTTATAGAATATTAGATGAGAAAAATAATATAAAAATAGCAATATAAGCAGAATTCAGTGAATCAACGAGTAATTCAATTGAATGAAAACGAGCTTAAAACAAACCATATTTTGAAAGTGAAATGTCAGTCCTAAGTACAAAGAATTCACAAGGGAGGTGAGTTTTAAAAATAATGGTTTGAAAATTTCTTTCAAAACTGAAGGAAACCACCTTCCACTTTTACCTGGGAGGGGATGAGGTAGGCGGTCCCCAATGTACGTATGCCGTTCCCTGAGTCGGTCTTCAATTTACATATGGGTTATACTCTTTTTTTCATTCTGGTTCCCAATTTACATACGTTGAGGCGTTTGTCAGACGCACGGCGGCAGCGAAGCAGACCTGCTGACACATCGGCTCTCGTTTGGGTGCTATGACAAGAGTCATAGACGACAATCTCACGAATGGTCCAGGTAGCGTTGTTTTAGACCTCTACACTGCCATTTCTGCATAATAAAAGACGTACAAAGTAAGATAAATAGAGGCAGCTCAATTCTGAGTGTAAATTCAGTAAGTGTTAGAATAAGAGATACAAAATTTTAAAAAAGGATGAAAGAATGACACATATAATAGTTATAATAAATTAAGCATTCGCCTTCCTGCACACCTTCTGGCATATCAAAAGTTTATTTATGCGTTTCGCGTACGTCTTTTAGCTCATACTGGTTCTTACATCTAATCCAACCTAGAGGTGTCTACACCTAATATGCTCATGCCGATGCGTACGACCCCACACGAAGTCGGCGATATTGCAATTACATCGCGTAATGCATTGCACCCGGGGTCATTACAATACCAGCTAAGAAACAGCATGTGCCATATTAAAAAGGGCAATGAATCAAGACATTAAAACATAAAAAAAACTTAACATTTCGGTTTTCTTAAATTCTTGAAAAATGAAAACGTGGACATGTAACCTTTTGTTTTGAATCTTCACGATTACTCTAGACTTCATATGCCGCCTGGACTCAGCTTTGAGATCAGTTTCAATCAGGTCTTGTTGAGCCACAGGAATTCAAGCGCACAGATGATCAGTAAAGACACGGACGTCAGCAAATAATGATGTCACGTTCTAATTGTATTTTATCAATAAAAGGATAGGTTATTCATAACGTAATGTATTTTCTCCGCGCAAACATATACTACCAAAATGTATCTTCCATATGACTTAGCACATTTTGAAATCATTCAAAGTCTCACGTCTGAAAGTTTTATGTTACGCATTTTGTATAAGACCTTTCGAATTTTCTATGCCTTGACCGTAACCATTTAGGTAATTCTTCCAATTCAGGACATTGTATGTTATTGTAAAAAATGGTCACAATATAAACAGATGGGTACATAATCTGGTAGTTCAGTATTTTTAATACAACACAATTGATTTGCAGCCAACGTTTGAGTCAGGTGTGCTGGACATTGCCAGAGGTACAACAGTTATGTATAACTGAAACTACCTAGACAACTATTAACTGTAAATAATATTGTTTTATTTCAGAATAAGACCAGCATGACTGGACGAAAAGTAGCAGAAAATATAATGTACTTTTAAATACTAGCTGAGTTCTCATCCACCAGATCTTTATATCCTGCTACTGCTATCCTTTGGCATTCTATTTGCTTCACTGAGGTCTGTTTGCAAGGTGCCTGAACGGCGGCACGTGCCTGGACGGCGTCGACAACTTCACCTGCACGTGCCCGCCGTCGCTGACGGGCCAGTTCTGCGAGTGCCTGATGCTGGCGACGGGGCAGCTGGACTGCACGTACATCGGCACGCCGCCCCCGCCGCCCTCAACGTGGCCTCCCGACACCTCCACCCCCGCCGCCTCCACCGCCGCCACGCCCACCCCGACCGGCGCGGGGGAGGAGACGGAGCCGCCGACCACGCCCCCCGAACCCTCGGACGCCTCCACCGCGGCGCCGCCCCCGCCCACCATGCCCGCCGCCTCCACCGCCCCCACCTCCGCCGGCACTGCGCCCACCACCGCGGCCGAGGAGGCGGACACGGCCTCCAGCAGCGACGCGGGCGAGGTGCGCTCTCCTCTAAGACCTCAATCACCCTCTCTGCACACTGATATTTCAGGATAAATGTTACCAACTTCTATGGCTTATAGAGGAGTGAAAAGTACTAGCTTTTACTAATGAACAATGGTCGAAAATTTCATGTAACAAAGTCACGCAAGTAACATTTACCTCTGATTGTTAGGCATGCAGTATTGTTCGGTGGTATATGTACTTATGCACTCCAATTTTTCTGTCGAATCTATTCACCTGTCAGACATCGATGCACGAGAAGTTGTCTGTGACAAAATGTGATCATTGACCTCTCTACACTCCTGAGAAGTTTGTATCATTTATTCGGAGACAATCAGTATGATACTCTAAGGAAAGACAACGCTTTTGCTCCCTTTAAAAGAACCGTCAATACAAAACCCTGTAAGTGTGCTACTACAAGATATAGATTTACCTCCTTTGCTGCATCCAAGATTTAAGGCGAAAAATACAAATTAAAGCAATAATTGAAACTGAATAGTAATCATAGTTTGCTTTCCGCTTGACGATGCTTTTGAAATCGTGCGGCATACTCTTAACAGAGGGAATGGCAACGGGCCCTGATCCTGGTGCGGACTGGAAACGCCCACCCGGTTTCCTGAGTTTCACGGAGGTACCAACGCCGTTTGTGCCGATGTGGACGTAGTGGGAGACGAGCAGGAAGACCGAGCGCTCCAGCTGCTGTCGAGTGGCCACCAGTTGAGTCCGGTTTCATCGTAAATGTGGACCCTTAAGTCAGTAAAAATTAACGTTCGCCAAAACCCGTTGGTATGAAGTACATTTTTCACCTGACCAACCTCTGAGCTGGTAATGGGGGGGGGGGGATAGGAAGCGCTCTACTCAGGCTCCAACATCCTTCCTGTGCCGGATTCGCCAAGCGACAAGGCGTTCTGGCCTTCATTGGTGGTTATTCAGGGACGAGGATATAATCATGGATGCCTTGGAGCGCACTCTTGAGTTCTGGTTACTATCATTATTAGAACCTAGTAACCCTAGTAACTAATACAAAGTGGCGAAATATGACCCATTTCAGAGAAATGGAAATTGTTTCACTGGTAGCGCTGTTGTTTGTTAACTCGCTACTCTCTAGATCGTTTATACGTTTGTTTATTCTGAGATCACGAAGCACAATTATTCATAGTTAAGTGTGATAGGAAGAAATTATGTTAAAATAACCCAGTGTACCTCGATTCTTATAATCAGTATTGACTGGTAAACCTTTCCTCTACAAAATTCAAAATATTTAAAAATAATTTGTTTTCAGGGTGCAGATAGGTAACGATCCAGAATAAATTTCGAGTTTTGGAAAGTCTTGTGCCCAAGTGATATCCGTAGCGTTTTTGCAGTATTCGGTGGGTGATCGATTCGTACTTTTAAAACAAGATTAATTATTTATTTAGCAGTTGGAAAGAGGGATGTCATTCTTTACTTTTAGGGTAATCAATAGTAATGCAAAACTCCAAATATGAAATATTTCTGTGAGTTGATTTGGATACATATGGTAAGACATAGTACAGTTTATTAAAAATTGATTTTCAAAATTTAGCTTTTAATATTTAGCATCGGTCATTAGAAGTTTTTGTGCAAAACTGGGAAGATTGAAAACAAATCTTGACTTTCGAATATTAATATAAGCGATTATTAAAAATAATACGCTCAATATTTCATACACCCTTAATAGAGAACAGAAATAACGATTATGAAAATTTACAAGACGTGATTATATTCTATTTATATATAATTCATCCTCAATAACTAACAGAAATTATATTTACAGCATGGGGGAAAATTAATAAGCTATATAATAAAAAGTTAGAAAATATCTTAATGATTTGCTTTCTTTAACGATATACCGTCGCAATTGCTAGTCACACACGTGAAGTGAACTAACAGATTTCGCCCTTCCAACAGGAATCCACTTCTGCCGTCGTGCCTTTCTCTCCCTTTCCAGAATCTTCCACTCCCGCGCCCGCGACCACGTTCTCCCCTGCCCCTCCCCCCTCGCCCACCGTCCCCGCGAGCGACGCAGCGACGTGGGAGGCGGAGGCGACCACGCCCAGGACCTCCTCCGCGTGGGAGGCGAGCAGCCCGGCGGCCTCGACGAGCTCCTTCCTCTGGGACTTCTCCCCGTCGGCGTCTGCCTCCACGGCGGGCGCCGCCGACGCCACGACGCCGCTCGGCCCCACCGGCGTCACGCCTCCGACGCCGCCGCCCACCTCGGACGAGGCCCCCACGCACGAGGTAGGCACGCAGGGGAACCCCGGTCATCCCCACTAATTGGGGGTGTGGATGTTCGGATTATCCGAACACAAATGTATCATACATATACATCTATAGAATTACCAGACACAATCCATTGTAGCGCCCGATGTGAGAAAATGGCAACGTAGCGAGGAACTGCTCTCGGAATGTCGATAGCATGAGTTGGTTGCGCAGCACCAAGCACTGAGCTCGCGCTACCCGCAGCTTGTCGGTCTTTCGGACACTCCAAAGAAGCGACATCGCCGAATGCAGCATATGTGGAGCCGCCTTAACACCCTCCCGATTTATATGCCGCTTTCTATTCATTCCGAGTTGTTTCTTCGCACAGGAAATGACGCAATGCATATACAAATTTCTCAGATGTTTACTCGTATACAATTAAGACGGCAGCTGTGAAAATATATTTTGTTTAATAACTTTAAATGAAAACAATGTATATAGTAAATCCTATCACATTGCTGATTAAAGTACCATATCATTTAGACGAAGTCTCCATTTCAGATCACCCAGACGCCGGACGGCACCACAGAAACGGCTCCCCCTCCCACGTGGTCCCCTTCCCCCGAGGTCTCGCGGCTCCCCGCGTCGCCGAGCCCCCCGTGGCGGCCGGACGGGGAGACGACGTCGCTGGCGCCTCCCACGGGTGAGGGCGAGGCGGCGGCGGCGACGACGACGGAGGCGGCGACGACGACGACGGAGGCGGCGACGGGGGCGGCGACGGAGGCGGCGACGGGGGCGGAGACGGAGACGGCGGGCAGTCCGACCGCAGCCTCCACCGAGCAGCCCGACTGCAGCCTGCTGCCCTGCCTCAACGGCGGCACCTGCGCCTTCGCGGACGACGGGCTCCGGGTGAGCGCGCGACTGACTCGGGGTTTCCACCGAGTTGCATGTATTGAGTGACTGAAGCGCCCACAGGCTGTGGCACACAGAGTGGCTGAAGTGCCGCCATCTCTACAGCGAATTGAAGCCACGTTTTTAGCAGCGAAAACAGTGCCCTCTGGAGAAGCAGAATATTCTAGGATTTCGTTTGGTGCTGGTTATGGCCGGGTGACCGCGGGCTGCCCGTTATATAAATCCTCTTACTCTGTTTCACAACCAAATACGAATCATTTAAAAACGAAATCACAATATGAATACAAATACAACAAAGGCAATAAATACGAATACAAGAGCAGTTCAGAAAAGGCTTGTCACTGCGATGGAAAATACAAATACAGTAGAGATACTTTGAACCGCATGAAATGGCTTTGCAGGCCGCGGGTTGCCGACCCTTGGTCTATACGTAGATTTCTATTGTCCATGCACTACGAAATGAGACAGGTTTTACTCTTAGATAGGCGCAAATAACTCCAAGCCTTTAGCTACTTGACTGTCTGGGAGTCGCCAAGTGCTAGACACAGGTGCGGACGATTCGACCGCCACTTTGCGACCTTCCTCAGGAAGATAAAAATTCCTCAGTTCACCCCGAGGAAGGTCGCAGACTGAGGCCGAAACATTGGCACCCGTGCTTAGGACGCGGCGTCTCTCGGGCAGCCAAGTAGCAACTGATTCCGGCCAGTGGCAGATTCTAGGAAAAGACCTACAGTTTTTGGGTACTACCTCCCTTTATTTAGCAACATTAATTAAAAATTTAATTGCTAGAATTATGTAATTATTTTAAAAATAACATTATATATATATATATATATATATATATATATATATATATATATATATATTACAAAATAATGTACAATATAATAACAAATGTTTATTACCTAACAAAAATCTATGATCACTCCCTCCAAAATGATGGGCTGGATCCGCCGCTGATCGACCGCGGAAGACTTCGCTCTCATCTCCAAGCCACACCTCATTAGCGCCACCGCTTGTGTTAAGACTCATTCACAATGCAAACGTAAACATAAGCATAGCGCGTAGTCATAAACAATTAACGTACGTGATGGACTGAAGTATTCATAATGTCTACCATAAAGGTAAGCAAAATAAGAGTTTCTATTGGCTGTGAGACATTCTGGTTTACTATTGGTTGGATGTGAGAATCGATTTCAAGGTATCGACTGTGTCCATGGGCCATATGGCGTTAGTTCTATCGACGTCGCTCCAATTTCGATTTTGAGTTACCGTTCTGTGATTGGTTAATTTTTTATGTCTTACTTAAGCATAAGCACAGGTGCTTGAAGCTTGCAAGCTTTTAATGTAACGCCTAACGTGTCATGCTTATGCAAACGCATTGTGAATGAGTCCACTTATCGACGTAGGCCTAACGCCATGCTTATGTTTATGCCTGCATTGTGAATGGGCGTCTCGTGTGCGTGTGCGTGGTTGCAGTGCGTGTGCCCGCTGCACTGGGCGGGCGCGCGCTGCGAGCGTCCGTCGGGCGTGCGCGTGGCGTCCTTCTCGGGCCGCTCCTTCCTGCGCCACCGCCTGCCCGAGGCGGCGGCCGGCGGCGGCGCGCGCGCCCTCGTCGAGGTGAGCGCGCGCACGCTGGCGCCGCGCGGCCTCCTCCTGCACGCGCAGCTCACGCAGCGCCGCTACTTTGCGCTCTTCGTGGACGACGGCCGCCTGCACTTCCGCTTCTCCTGCGGCCGCCAGACCATGCACTTCACCGAGACGCAGACGCGCGTCGACGACGGACACGACCTCGCCGTGCTCGCCAAGTAAGTCCTCACTCCTCCTCCTTCGCCTCCTCGTTTTCATCCTCGTCCTCGTCGTCATCCTCGTCCTCGTCGTCATCCTCGTCCTCATATCCTCCTCCTCGTCGTCATCCTCGTCCTCATATCCTCATATCCTCCTCCTCCTCCTCCTCCTCTTCGTCCGTATACACCTCCGCCGCATACACCTCCGCCTCCTTCTCGTCATCCTTCTTCTCAGCATCCTCCTCCGTCTTCTCATTCTCGTCTCTATTTCCCACTTTTTCTCGTTCTTGGCATTTATTCCTTCTACTCGCCCTCATCCTCGTTCTCTTTCTCATTCTTCCTATCCATTTCCTTCGACCCTTTTTCGCTTCCTTTCCTTCCTTTATCTCCTCCTATTTCTCTTTTTTCATCCTCATCCTCCAGGAGGCATAGCAAATACGTTAAGTTGCTAGGAGTGGTAAGTTAGACGAAGTGTTTTGTACTTTTTATATTTCTTAGAATTTTACTTTCAGTCCTTCTTATCTTGTCTTTACGTCACCGATCTTCTCCTTCTTTTTCGTCTTCCTCCTCCACCTTTCTCGTCGTGTGTGAGATAGCAACTGTGACTGTTCTAGCGCTGGACTCCAGACTTCTCTTTATCCTCACCATTTTCATCTTCCTATATCGTCTTTGTCAGGTTTGTGAAGAGAGATGGAAACTCTGTTAGGCCACAAGGGATGGTATATTTGACGTAAGACTTTTCTATTTCTTGTACTTCTACTTAGCATTTTACTATCAGTTCGCTTTGTTCCACAAATGGTCCTGGACGTCCGTTGGAGAGATGGCAGCTTCAGTCATTTTTGAGGCCAAAACTAAGTCTTCATTCTTCTGTTTACCCTTTGTGTAGACCAGGGCCCCAGCGGTCGAGGTCGAAGTCATTGACTGGCCGAGAGGCGCGATGTCCTAGTCCCTGCTCTGACCGTTTCTTTCGTAATCCTGTGACTCGCTTAAAGGCATACACATAGAAGCGAGGCGAATTCAAAAATTCACATAGTTGCAACATTGGAAGAAACTCGATCTATTAAAATATTTCTGTTACAGGAGGAGGAGAATTATATGATAGAAGGAACACACCCATACACACACATATATAATCATTCGGGAGCCATCGGGATTCATCAACTGCTGAATGCAGATTTAAATACAGCTGCTGCTGCTGCTGCTGCTGCTGCTGCTGCTACTGCTGCTACCACTCTTACTGTTAAAACAGCATGCATGGCTTTTAGTGTACTCTGATTCATAGTTTGCTGTACCGCATTTGCCCTGAAGAAGGCCGCCGTAGTGTTGACCGCTGCCGCGTGGGGCGATGCGCAGGTTGGAGGTGGTGACGTCGTCGAACGGGTCGCTGCAGTGCGTGGGCACGCTGCGCATCAACGCCTCGCTGGCCATGGGCGGGGAGCAGGTGGCGGCGGCGCCGTCGCCCGGCCGCCCGGCCGCCTGGCTGCACCTGGGCGGCCTCCCGCCCGCCTGGCCGCGCCCCGCCCCCGCCGACCCCGCCCCCGCGCCCGCCGATCTTCCGGGTTTCACCGGCTGCATGCACAGCCTCCGGGTGAGTTTACGCCTCATTGAAACGCCCTTAACGAGGGCAAGCAAATGTCTTTCAACTCTTTATATTCAGGTCTAGGTTTTGTAGAGAATTACAACTACAGAAATTCGTAATAAACATATCCAAAACATGGGCTGCAAAATTCAAATAAATATGAAAAGAGTAAACATAATTTATTAAATAAACGTTCAAATTATATCAAAAGATTGATCAAATAATTTTCTTTCAATATTTGTCGAAGAACAGTATTTAGACCTAATAATTTCTGATCTAATCATAATACTGAAATAGTCTAGCCATTTTTGTATTGTGTTGATAGTAAGTTTCATAATACTTTTTAAAAATTGATATAACTAGAATGAAATGTTTTAATTTTTCAAACGTGTAAACGTGTAATGTTACAAACATTTTTTCTTGTCATGTTGCATTGTACTAACTCGTCATCAGAAGTAATGATCACAGTTCTGTAACGCCCACTATCTTATCTATTACGTTACACCTGGATTTACTTCTAAATGATTTAAAATTACACCAAAAATAAAAAAATAATCTTCCAAGACTAATTTTGACAGAATATAATATGGATCAAAATGCAAATGAAATTTTAAAATATGCAATGTTATGTATTTTTCCTTAATTAAGCTTAAATGGATATCCTGGCAATCGAGGCAAATATGGGTAATCATGTGTGTTTCAAATCACTTCAATAAACCTAATTTGTAAACATTTCACAAAATTTTGCTTGTAACTAAAAAGAAATATGTAATTACAATCCAAGCCCTGTTAATTACATTCACTTGTGAGGTATTAATGTCAGCTAAAAGTGTTGGGATAGAATTCGATTTCAATATCTGCATGTCTTTCAATTTGAGGTACCGTCACAGCTAAGCAGGGGTGCTCATAGGAACTGAACCTCAAAAGATGTAATAGGTTACAAAATATTTCTCTCTTATAATATGGTGCGATATATTTTAGATTAATTTGACATAAAACTGTGCCCTGAGAACAGGAAAATTAGTTGGAAGGTTCTCTGACACGTCGTTTTCAATTTATTACGATATATGCCAATAAATAACTACGATGGTCTCTTCATTTTGACACCTTTTTTGGTGAGATTGACCGGGCGTGGAAACAGAAAAATCTATCTTCAGAGTTGACAATTTTGCGGTTGAATTGTCGGAAGAGGGGTGTGGATTATTTCATGAGCTTCACTTATTTGCTCTTATCTTCAAACTCGGGAAGTATTCATTTGTACTGCTAAGTCGACGTGTCACATAACAGTTTAAGTGATGTATGTACACGAGAATACTACAGTCTAGTACGCCTTTAGATAAACGCTTATTGGATAACTCCTATAAGTTACATCCATCCATCTACGTCTCCATTGACAGCTCGTTACAAACCATACCCCAGCGCCCCTGCAGCGTGAGACGAATACAGCCTGCACTACTGTAGTGGGTCACGGGTTGCCCTTTGTAAAGGTTTGCCAAGGCGCTGCTCGAGTCTGAAACCGGGTGATGGTTTTCCCGCGAAGCGTGTATTTTTAGGTGCGCTGGCGTGCCGCTCATTTCATGACAGGCATGAGCACGCAGAAAGTGGAGCAAAGCGTTTGGACAGAGGATCGTTGCGAAGTTCTGAAAATATCTCTGCGAAGAATAATCATTGCGTGTTCCTCAATTTCTCGAAATAGGGTTGTGCAGCGGAAGACGTACGTAATACCGATTTGGCAACAGCTCCCTAATACCATATACAGATCAAACCAGCCAAATGTGCCCTAATAACTTATTTCCATTGTGGTCTGTTATAGAATAATTGTCTGAGACTTCAAATCTCTTCTTAATATTTCCGCGTTGCAATAAAATTGAAGTTTTAAACGTTCTTAAAAATTGTCGAATATTTGATTAATTATGAAGAGTCTTTTCCCAAAAGTATGATTATGTCATTGACTTAAAAACGGTAATAGGCCTTGCCGGAGCAACTACATTTTATAAATTATATTTCATTATGATGCTACGCTTGTAAATATGTTTAAGTTAAGAAAAGTTTGTTTTCCAATTTAGTTAACTGAAAACAAACTTAACAAAACGGATATGAGTGTCGTAATAAGAGTTATTAGAACACCAGCCACGTTATAACCCACGGCCCACTATAGAACACTATAATCAGTTTCGAAATAGGTATTTTTAAAACACAAATCTTCTAATAATCCATAGCCTCCTATTACTTATTATCAATATTAATTTCTAGCATTTTGCAGAATGAATATACAAATTTAAAAGTAAATTATAGTTCATTGTAATTTGGGATAAAAAACACGATATTCGTATCCTAACATCTTACATAATTGATTATTAAACTCAGCCTAACAGTCTTGTTAATAATTAATCGAAATTATCCAATCTCATATTGCAATAAAATACTTCTTTTGTAAATTGCCATTTTCAGAAATTTGCCTTTTATGTTATTGTTTTTGGGTGGAGGTCTCCGAACGCTAGGTACACAATATGTTTGCGGCTTCGTTGTGCGACGGTTACCGTAATAGCCAAATTCGGGGGGTAAAACCTGACAATGGGTTTTATGAGAGAGAAGATACTTCTTACGCCTTTCTACGAAAGGGAAGTAAAGCTGGCTGTCCCATGTTGTAGATTTACTGCATGTAATATATCCTCAAGCCTAAAAGAAGCCTCTGGGCAAAATTCTGTTTCATTACTCAAGTGATACATTTTTGATGTTAGATGGCGAAAGGAACGTAGTGAAGCTCGCATGATCAGGCGAAACAACAGGCCTGCCGTCCCGAGCTTCGCTACGTAAAATAAGACGGAATGGATTTTTACTTTCTCGTCCTTACGAAGGCACAAAAACAAGAGAACATTATGTAACCTTGCGCCGGAAAACGGCGAATGTTTGTCATAAAAAGTCTTACTGCCGGGCCCTGGAAACAAAAAGTGGATAAATTCTGTTGCTAATATAGAAAAAAATCCTACACGTGGTGTTGCCAAATGTAACTTTATGGGTCCTTCATACCGAAAAATCGATTGACGGCAAAACGTCTGTCTGTCTGTCTACAGTCAGCGTTAGTGCGTAAACCGTTCGCCCTATTTTCTTCAAAATTAATATTCCCAGTAGATCTAAAACTTACGGCTTTGTGAGTTCTTAACAGATATTTTGATTTTTGAGTGTACTTTACATAAAGTTTCAAAAACATTTTCAAACTTTTATCAAAAGTGGCTTCATACTTTTTTATCAAACTTTGTCCTCAAATAGCGTTAAAAACGCTTAAGAGAATGAAGCAAGTGTCTTGTGTGTTTGTTGAAATACCAGATCTTTTTAAAAAATTGCAAAAGTGCAATTTTTGGTCGGTCTTCCTACAATTATAATATTGAATATATATTTTCCCTTAATGCAATTTGTTCCTTAAAGACAGATCTTTAAATAAGTCCATATTTAATATTTCTCAAATATGAGTAGTTTTAGTGTAATTTGGCGCAAAGTATAGGGAATAAAAAAAATTCTTTTTTCTAAAAACAAACTCTAATTTTTTTCTTTAAATATTTTCCACGGGTAGAAGAAGGACGCTTACAAGAATAGCAGGAGTCTTATTTTCGCTGAACTCTGAATTTTTGGAAAATTTCAAATGTAGAAATAAATCGAGAATGTATGTGCGCGGTGACCGGCGTGTGTGTGTGTGCGCGCAGGTGGACAACGCGACGCGGCGCATCTTCGCGGACGCGCTGACGGGCGCCGACGTGGGCGAGTGCGCGTCGCTGGCCTGCCTCTCCAACCCGTGCCGCGGCGGCGCCACCTGCCTGCAACAGGGCGCCGACGCCTGGAGCTGCCTCTGCCCAACTGGGTGCGCCCCGCCCCCGCCCCCGCGCCCGCCCCACAGATAGCGGCGCACGCACGCACGGAACACGCGTGGAATGCGCCATCGCTGCCAAATTAACGCCTTTGAGTTAGCCTTTTTTGCTAAGGAAATTTAAAATGCTCTGGAAATTTTGGGTCGGGTGGGTTCAGTGGTGATCGCGCAAGTTGAAAGCCGGAACCTCGCTGTTCACCCGTTCACTTGGAAATGCGCCAAGGATACTGTCATATTGGCAATATTTTTGACAGATCTCTCAACTACTCAACACGAACAATTTAAAAAAAAATATGGAGCGCATTTAACTATCGTTCTATTTACTCATGTTGTAGCATGTACGTCCTAAAGTTAGCAACTTAAATAACTGTAAATGCGTTGCAAATTTTCAATGGGTGGGTTCAACGATGTTTAATGGTGATCGCGGAGGTCAACGACCGGTGCCCTGTCGTTTACTTGGAAATGCGCCAGAGATTCAGTCTGACACCCCAACTACACAACGTTTTGAATCTATGCAGCGCATTTCATTCGTGTTCCATTTATCTATGCTTTAGCTGCTTTCCAAAAATAATACCACCTTGCTAGAACGGGAAAAGCGTTTGACGAACAAATGAGCAAGTGGTAGTCCAATGAATGTCAACTAGTCATTTAAATACTTGTGATAAAATGTTTTAGTTAACACGTTTATGGTAAAGTGCTTATATAAGTATTATTTTATGTTATCAACACGCAAATATATTTTTACTCGCTGTTGTTTGCACTTATTTAGTATTTCACAGGCAAATCACTGTTTTAAGAGATGATGTTATGCACTGTAGTATAAAATACATTAATTGTATTTCAATGGAAGCTAAATTCAACAAATAAATTAAAAAGGTGTTTGATTATCAATCATTTCTGATGTCGAACTCCGGTAAAATGTTTTTTTTTTAAACTTTCACCTAACTCCATTTCATTAGAGCACTGATAACCCATCCAACATTGCATGATTTGTGAGACAGTTTTGGTTAATGTTTAAATACTATAATTTTCAGTTCTCATTTTAAGCACTGAAAAAGTGCTTAAAAACTCATTATTTAATTTTCAGTTTAGCTCTTCATAACTACAACTTATTATAAAACTATACAAGTCAATTGAAATGATAAAAACTGTCTTGCAAAAACAGTAAAAAAATTAAACTCTTAATCCGTTGAATTATTCACTTTCACATTTCTATTGGAAAACATATGTTACATTACTGCCTAAACACTTACACTGAATTTTAAATCAATCCCATTTATCAGCTAACACACTACGAACATTCGCTTTATATCTTTGAAATATTTAACCAATTCGAATTCAGTTGCATTATGTTTCTTATTGCAAAAAAACCTCTAATAATCAGATTTCTTCGTACTCTTTAATCCTTTTAACTCTGTAACAGTTTCTTAGAACTCGTACCCTCAATAGGAGACAGTGAGGAGAAAAGAAAATAAGCAAAACCAAAAGAGAGACATTGGTCAAGGCCAATAAAAAATTATAAAAAAAATAACTGATTTATCATTGTGCCACTACATTAATTAAAAAATAGTTGTTCATTTAATTCGTTATTTGCACAGAATAGTTACATTGAATGTCTAAAAAATTTGTTAAATAAAAATGTTTCATTGGCTAAGTATCTCTTCCATCTTTGAAGGCTTAAAACCTCTTATTTCGAAAAAAAATGCATGATTTACGAGGTAGTTTTTGTCATTTCACGATTATATTGTGTTTAATGTTTTAATATAATTGAAAACATTCTGATTGTGACAATTTGTGATTTATTGCCTCAAATGTAAACAATACGCATGTTCACCAAGATGAGATGAGGGTGTGAGGTGCGCGAGCGTGGGTGGTGCGGCGCGCCTGCTCCCCTGTGACCGCTCGCGCGCGCGCGCTCGCGCGCCTTGCCCTGCGGCAGGTTCGTGGGGCCGACGTGCGAGCAGTCGGTGTGCAACAACAACCCCTGCCAGTTCGGCGCCACGTGCGCGCCCTTCCCCGGCAGCGGCTTCGTCTGTTTGTGCCCGCTCGGCAAGCACGGCCTGCTCTGCGAGCACGGTACGCCACGCCCCTCGCCCGCTCCTCACACACCCACTCACCCCTCACCGCTCCTCTCACGCCGACTCACCCCTCTTACCCACCCCCCTCCCGCTCCTCACACCCTCTCCCTTCCGCCACTCCTTTCACCTCACTATTCTACGCTCTTTTTTATCCCTTCATGAACTCCTCTACCGCTCCTCTTCCACCCGAACTCCGACCCCCTATTCTTAACCCACCCCGTCGCTGGCCGCCTCTTTCTCTCCTCGTCCAAGTCCTCCCCCTCCCCGCTTCAGTCATCACAACCACCTCGTCACATATCCCTTCTCTTGCCTCCTCTCTCATCCCAGTGTCCATCCCACTTTTCTACCCTCTCACCAGCCATCTCCCGCTCCTCTGTTAACCTATATCCCGCTATATCCCCCCTCTTTTTAATTGACTCCGTCACTGGCCTCCTCTCCCGCTCCTCACCCACCCTCTCTCCCGCCGCCGCTGCAGTCATCATTTCTATCACGTCTAATTCCCTTTCCCGCTACTTCTCTCAGCCCACTCTCCTGCTCCCACTTCCATCCGCTCTCGTTCTTAAGCCCCACCCCATCTACCATCTCTCTTCCTTTACGGCTCCCTCTGCCACTCCTCACCCACCCTCTTCCCCACCTCCGCTCTAGCCATCTCACCAGTTTTCAGCCTGTCCTCAACACACACTCTCCCTCTCTCTCCCTCTCTCTCCCTCTGTCTCTCCCTCTGTCTCTCCCTCTGTCTCTCCCTGTCTCTCCCTCTGTCTCTCCCTCTCTCTCCCTCTGTCTCTCCCTGTCTCTCCCTGTCTCTCCCTGTCTCTCCCTGTCTCTCCCTGTCTCTCCCTGTC